CGGGAGGGCCCCTGCCGCCCCCTCCTCCCGGAGGTGGGGTGGGGATGGCGGCGCCTTCTTCCGACACGGACTCGTAGGCTCGTCGTGAAGGCCACTGAGCGCCCTCCCGCCGCCGCCTCGCCTCAGGGCGGGAGAGGCCTCCCGCCCGCCGCGCTAGGCCGCGGCCGGCCGGCCGGAGGAAGGAGGAGGGGCCGGGCAAGCATGGCCAACCCTGCCAAGTGGGAGCGTCTGAGGCCGCTGCGGCCGGACACGCTGCGTGTGAGTGAGGTACACGGCGGACGGGGAGAGGGCGGGACGGCACCGCGGCGCTTTGCTGCCGCCGCGGGAGGTTTTAAGGAGATTCCCGAAAGCCCTTCCTCTCGGCTGTCCCCGAGCTGGAAAGATGTGGCAGGCCCAGCCAGAGTGGTGCGCCGAGCGGCTCCCTCGCTGCGTTTTGAGCAGGCTGTCCGGGAAAGGAAAACGTCGGGATGTTAGTGATAGTGCAAAGGGATGGTTTTCTTAGCTGTGTTACCTGTAGCCTCTTAATCGAGTTCAATAGGTTGTGGCTGTGTTTAAGAAGAACGCACTACAGCTGTGCGTTCCGTTCGTCTCTGAACACTTGTGATGTTCGGGTAATTTCTTACATGCAGCTTCCACCGCTACTTTTAGTAATGCTATGAGGTAGCTGACAAAAAAACAGGCCTTACTTTTAATTCTGTGAAGCTTCTTAAAAGCGCTTGTTTTTATTAACCTTGATTGCTGGGCTAAATGTTACTTGGCAGTATTGTCTTAAAACCATGAAAAGGTTTACATGAGTTTTTACACTGGTAATTGGAAATTTCTTATTATTGGAGATGATGATTGTAAGAAACAAAGGGTCTTGGGTACAGCTTCTTTATGTAGATGTTTAGATAAGTCAACCAGGGGTGATGCTTTCCTGAATCTGCTTCTCATAAAGAGGGAAGTCAAGGATGTGGTAATCATTAGCAGCCTTGGTTGTAACAGCCGTGGAATAGTGGAGTTCAAGACACTGAGTGTTGTGAGGAAGGCTGGTAGCAGAGTACAGAACCTCGACTTGGGCTTATTCAGGCAACAGGAAGTTGAGATTTTAGGGGAGGCAACTTTGAAATTTGGAGGAGCCAAAGAGGACAGGGGCGTTCCATCCTGATACTCATGACAGCAAGTAAATGTGTTGAGGGATGGGCACAGCTATACTCGCACTCCGGAGAGGGCAAAAAGAACATATGCAGGAGGTGGAAGCAAGGACAGGCTATAAAGCAGAAGGATAAAAAACATGGTCTGGACATGTAGGTATGATGCTAGGAAAGTCAAAGTTCTAGTGTTGAAAGTAGCAGGGAATGTCAAGGGTGACAAGAAGAACTGTTTATTGCTACATTAGTGGTAAAGGGGGTGGGCGGAAATGTGAACCTGCTGCTAAATGGGGCAGGTGATCTAGGAAGAGCGGACACAGATAAGGCTGAAGTACTCTGCCTTCTTGCACGTGTCTTCAGAACTGATGTGCCCTAGGCTTTGTGTCTAAGAGACAGAATTCAAGGAGAGCAAGAATCAGCAATGGAAGAGTGTCAAGTTAGGAATCTCTTGAGAAATCTTAACCCAGACAAGTCTGTAGGACCCACTTGGGGTACATCCTGAGAGAGCTGGCTGACGTCATTTTGAGGTTGCTCTCATGATCTTTGAGAGGTTGTAGAGGTCAGCTACAGCTTCACCAGCCTCACATCAGTCCCTTGGAAAATCATGAAGCAAGTTCTCTTGGAAGCTCTTTCCAGGCACGTGAAGAAGGCACCAATTGGGAATAGCCAACATGACTGTACTTGCAACCTGATCACCTTTGGTGATGGAATGACTAGATCTGTAGATCCAAAGCTTTGGATGTCATCTACGTTAGGTTTAGCAGGACTTTTGAAACAGTCTTCTGCAGCATCCTCCTCTTTGAGTTGGGATGTTACAGATTTTAAACTACTAGATGCATAAAAAAAGCCTGGCTGGATCATCAGGCTCAAAGAGGAGTGGTTAGGGGTTCGTGCTTTACCCAAAAATTGATTGCAGGTGGTGTTCCTCAGGGGTCTATCCTGGGACCTGTCCTGTTGACAGGAGGAGGACATGAGAGGCACCCTCATAATGTTTATGGGTGTGGAAGGTGCTGTAGACAGCTAGGCATGGGCTGGTGGAATGGGTCATCAGACACCTCATAAACTTCCTTCATAAACCAAGGAAGCTGAAAATTCAAGAGGGAAGTCCTGCACCTAGGCCTGTACCCTGCAGTGGTACAGGCTGGGGGACCACCCTGCTGAAAGGATCTGGGTGTCCTGATGGAGACTGGGCTAAACATGCACCAGCACTGTGCCCTGGCATTGAGGCATATGAGGCTGTATTAGCAGGAACATAGCCAGCAAATTGAGGAAAGTGATTCTTCTTTACTTGGCACGTAGTGGGCTGCTTCTGGAATGCTGTGTCCATTTTAGGCCCACCAGTACAGGAGGCTGTTGATAAACTGTGGCGGGAGCTTGTTAAGTAACAGCAGCCCTTCAGTGCTTGCAAGGAAGTTAACAAGAAGCTGGCGCCAGACACTTCACAGCCATGAATGATGGGAGGCTGAAAGGAAATAGCCATGCGTTGAAACAAAAGAAGCAAGAGAGGTTGCAACTTGATGTAAAGTGAAACTTTTTCACTCCCAGGACAGGCAAGCAGTGGAGTGGGATGCCCAGAGAGGTGTAGCCTCCATCCCTTGATATTTTCAAGACCCAATTGGGTAAAGCCTTCAGTAAGCTGCTCTGATCTAATGGCTGTTCCTGTTTGGAGTTGGAGGTTGGACCAGAGACCTTCTCAGGTCTTTTCCAACTGGAATGAATCTGAATTTGAAAATACTCCTTTTGTTAAGTTGGGGTGAGGGTGGAATGAAGTACCTACTTAAGCTCATCGTGTCAGTTTCTTGACGAGAGCAGACTCTGCTGCCAGTCTTGTATTGTAATATGTAATTGCAATGCTGTATAATAGCAGCGTATCTTCTGTATGTGAGCCATTACATGGAATAGCTGAAGCTTGTATTTGTAGAGCTTATACAGGTATCCGTTTGTGTTGTGACCGTTGCCTGAGCATTAGGGAGTTCAGTGGTGTTTCCTGCTTTCCAAGACAGAGGGAGATGTGCTGACATTAAGGGCTAAAAATTCTGACAGGAATCAGTGAGCATGTATACCTTCTATCCAGTGACACTCCTTCACAGTAATATCTGTTGAGTTGTCAGCATTCTGATGGCTGTAGCATCTAGAGTTGATTTGGGGATTTCTTCTGGAGAAGCTTCCTGTGTAGATAGCATTTTATGTCAGTTGTTGGTTTTTTTTTTTCCCAGCCACCAATGATCAACCTGAACGTGGATGATGACGTACAGTTTGTGAGAAGTAAGTTGCTGTGTTCTGTGTATGAAGATTATTCTTAAAGTACTTAATGCTTTTTTACAATGCTGAGTACATGCTGTAAACAAATGAGAAATTGTTATGTATCCAATATAGGCAGAACAGGAGGAATGCTGCACACTAAATGAAACAACAGATACAAAGCAACACATTCTTCATAGTTTTTCCTCTTTAAATCCGCTGCAAGTATACCTTCCCACTGCTATAAAGAAAATCATGTACAGGAAAAGTGAGTTAGAGAAAACTAGAACATTGTGCTGGCAAACATTGATTTTCAACTGGTATTAACAAATGTAAATACAAGCTTGAGTGAATTTGCTTTTTTTTGTTGTTGTTTTTTTCTCACCAATTGGATAGCCTCACACATCTCATGGTAACACAGTCCAAAACAGAGTTGTTGAACCTGTCGCTTCATGTTAAAAAGTGCACAGTCTTGCAGCCATAGAATAGGTGTGTGTCCTGGGTTCAGTTGGGATAGAGTTAATCTTCACAGGAATCTGGGAGGGGGTACAGCCAAGACAGCTACCCTGAACTAGCCATGGGGATATTCCATACCATGTGCCGTCATGCTCAGTATATAAATGGGGAGGGGGCTGGGGGGAGGCTCTCTTTCTCTGTGGGAAGTGGTGGAGTGTCAGGTTCCAGGTGGTGAGCAGTTGCACTGTGCATCACTCGTTTTGTATATTGTTTTATTAGTACCGTTGTTGTTGTAACTTCTGTGTTGTCCCAGTAAACTGTCCTTATCTCAACCCATGAGGTTCCTTCTCCCCCCCCCCTTCCTCCTTTCTGATTCTCCTCCCCATCCCACCAGAGGGGAGCGGAGAGGAGTGAGGAGCGGCTCCGTGGTGCTTTGTTACCGGCTGGGCTGAAACCATGACAGTCCTTTTTGGCACCCAACGTAGGGCACGATTATTTCCTCCCCCCAGCCCGCTCCCCATTTATATACTGAGCATGATGTCATATGGTATGGAATATCCCCTTGGCTAGTTCAGGTCAGCTGTTCTGGCTGTACCCCCTCCCAGATTCCTGTGAAAATTAACTCTATCCCAACTGAACCCAGGACATTATGATATACTATGAGTAAAAGTGCATGTTTCATTCATCTTGGGAGGAATACTGAAGCTTGAAGTAGAGTGTTTTCTAGGGAAGTTTCCTTGCACATGCACCCATGCACGTGAACACACATACACACACGTTCCCTTGAGGCATTAAACTGGAATGCTACTCAGTGACACAGTTTGAGATATGAAATACCTGGTTGCTTTGCAGGAGAAAAGACAAGTAACAGCAGGATTTGACAGTCTTTCATTGACTCTATAGCATCAGATGAGTGCACGTGTACCACATCTTTTTTGTGCCTCAAAAATACATGCTTTTTTATGCTTTATGCATACATAAATAACAATCTAAAGTTAAACAAGCTGTTCATCAGTAACTTTTCTGCTGTTTCTGTGAATATGTTGGTAATGGATACACATAGCACAGGCATCTCTCTTAAACTTATGGTGTCCTGGTAACTGTAGATCTTTGTTGCATTAGTAAATTCAACAATGGCATGACCAATTTGTTTGCCCTGAGGCCGTATAGTACAACCAGAGTTTGTCCATATATTAAGGTCTTGTACTCCAGAACAGATTGGTCATGTCCAGACTGAAGCAGTCCCTGAAACCAAGCTAAGTCCTGAACCATGCCTGAATGTTATTTGGGAGATCTACTGGTTAATCTGGGTGTGAAAAAAACATTTTAACAGTGTCATGGAGCAGATGATAGAGCTGCAGTTCTCTGGCAGTGCCCTGACACTATCTATAGTTAACCGAAGGTTTCATTGGTATTCATTCAGTAGTCTGAGCTCATGTCCTACAGAATGTAGTTACACAACTATTAATATCCGTACTAGCAGTCTGAAGTCACGAATGTTGAAAGCATGAAGGTGCATGCTTGCTATTTAGATGCAATCATTGCAAACAAATGAAGGTATATGTAGTTAATAGACTTTATATGATGCCATTTTAATGTCAGTGTTAATTGCAGTGCTTCGAGACTTTTATCTTCATTGTTACTTCATCACTTTTTTTTTTTAGGAACATTTCATACTTTTGTAGTAGTTTACCCTAAATATTCTATCAAAACTTTACAGGAACTCTGAAACTCAAAAAGCCTCGATTTGATGCATCCTTGGTTTATTTGACACGAAAATTCATGGATCTTGTCAAAACAGCTCCAGACGGTGTCCTTGATTTAAATGAAGTAGCAACAACACTTGGAGTACGAAAACGAAGAGTGTATGACATCACGAATGTGTTGGATGGAATCCACTTAATTCAGAAAAGATCTAAGAATCTTATCCAGTGGGTGTGAGTTGGCTTTGAAACTTCTAATTTCTGAAACAATAAAACCCAACAATGTTGAGTAATGTTTATAACTTTGAGAGTATTTTTAAGCATATTGAATTACTTTTAATAGGTAAAAATATTTTAAGTTCTTCTGTATCCTTAGGCTATCTGAATTACTATATTAACAAGTATCAAGTGAAAAGCAGAATGAATTGTATTTCAGCAAAGGATGCTAGAGTTCCTCGTTGTTTTCTATTAGTATACTTTGTGTTCAATAAACAGGCTTTTATTTATATAAACTTACTAGACAACTTTCATACTCTTCTAGAGGTTCTAATCTTGACCAAGTTGTTGGAAAAGCACCAGAGCAGCAAAACCTTAAAGATGAACTTTCTGACTTGTCAGCCATGGAAGAAGCTCTGGATGAATTAATCAAGGATTGTGCTCATCAGTTATTTGAACTAACAGATGACAAAGAAAATGCAAAATATCCTTTTAGCTCTTGCATTGCTTTAACGTGTGGTTTTGGTTGCAAGTACTGAGGTATTTAGTCATAGGTGTGGGCTAATACCACAGGTATGCAGTAATACTTGATAATGAGTTTTCTAATAGGAGACTTTTTGGTTATTCTACATTAGAGTATACTAGTCATGTGCCCTGCTTTGCAGTATCATGCACGATCTAGCCTGTTCTCAGGGGAGTGCTACTTGTGTGACCTTTCTGCTGCAGAAGAATGGAAGTGTGGCAATAGTCTTACTACCCTGACTATCACCGTGTTCTCTCCATTATAGAGTAAAGTTGTCTCAGGGGCAGGTCTCAACCTACCAGTGAGGTTGAGTTGCTTAGTATGATGAGAAAGAGGACCCAAAACAGAGTCCCAGTGGCATGTTGCCAAGAAGGTATAATGGTATGTTGGTTGTGTCCTAATACTGTTCTGTCTTTTGAGAGAGGTTCCAATGCAGTCTTGTTTTTCAGATGAGTTTTGATAATAGAAAAGGGATTTCTATTAATATGACATAAACATTGGATTTTGGCTTTGGTTTGCAATAAAATATTACTTAGCTTCCTTGTCCGGCAGAATGTTAAGGTCTGTGCTCAAATGAAGTGTGCCCATTTTCTGTATGATATCAGGAAAACTCTTCATTACACCTTACCTGTTCTGGTTAAGAAAATAGTTCTATAGTTTTCCAGGAAAATATTTATATGCATAGTTATTACAAAACAAAGAAGTAGTTTCTCCAAGGCAGTCCTCCCTTGGCTTTCTAGACTTAGAACAGCATCTGTGAAAACTTTGTCAGATGTGTTTGGTTTTTTTAATATTGAATATCTATTTTTTTAAAAGCTTTTTCCATCCTAGAAATAAAGAAAAAAGGTTTTCCACTTATTAGCGAATACTTAATTTTACAAAGCTAGTATTAAAGTAACCTTGGCTGAACTATTTAACAGTTTTCTTAAGTTGGTATTGTGGTTCAGTATATCTTAACATCATACTCTTTACTTCTGCCTATTGGCAAATTACTTTACAGAATCCTTGACCAATGTATACACTAGCTTATGTGACATGTCAAGATATCTGTAGCATTCGGGCATTTCAAGAACAGATTGTGATTGCAATCAAAGCTCCAGAGGAAACCAAATTGGAAATACCAATTCCTAAAGAAGTAAGTTTTATACATTTCTCTCTTAGGGGGACAAAAGGTCTCAAGTTTGATGTTTGCAGCAGCAATCAGTAATTGAATTCCAGTTTCTTTGTCATGTGTAGCAAATATTGGTACTTTATTGTTCTTGTGTTCTGTTATAAAATGCTGTAGAGATAATAGTCTAAGAAACTTAAGTTCAGTATTTTTCTGTTTAGCTAAATTATTAAACAGTAAACCTGTCTGAGCTTTAGTTACTTTGTTTTGCTAGAGAGAATGGAACAGCTGTAATAAATGTTACTTATTTCCCCTATCAGTTTGTTCGATAATTTACTAGGATAATGAAACTCTCAAAGAGCTGTACAAAATCTACAAAAACTGTAAGTCTAACCAAACAAAGCAATAGGCGTGATTTGATAATGATCTTGACAGCATGTAAATGCTGTCTCGCTGCTTAATGAGTAGATGGATATTGTTACTCTGATATTAAAGTACGAAATGCACGGTGTGGTTCACAAAACATTTTGGCACTCTAGTCATTCACATCAAGATGGATTTTTCATGGAGGTGGGGGGCTCTGCCCTGCCCTCACCTCATGGTACAACACGCATCCTCCCATTCAGGTCATACAGAGGAGCCATAACTTTGCCCTCTGCACACAGTCACACTGCACCTGCATTGGGGCCTGTATACTGGGAACCCACTGCTTAAAGTAGTGCTGTGAAAGAGGGGAAATACTGGAAGTAAGCTTAAGATAACAAGTTAAGCTGTAATTCTGTTTTCCTTTTGCATGTGCATTTTTTGTAATGTTCTTAATTGCATAGTCATCAAATTTGCCTTGCTATGTGTGCAGAAAGGGAGGTGGTATCCTAGGAAAAGAAGATGTGAATCAATAGAACCAGAAGACTTTAGATCCGCTGTATAGATCTCCAGTGGTTTCACTGGTAAAAAGAGCTGGCTCTCATCCTGTGGAGATGAAAAAGATAACATTTCAGAGGCTTCCTGAAGCAAAAGAAGGCAGGATTTAAAAGCCTGTATTTTAGAGAGAACAGAATCTTCTGTCCATTGTCCATTAAATTTGATTTGCTCTGTGCCTTGCAATGTGATGTCTGCTGAAGCAAAGCAGTAAAAGTAATACGATGTAGTTGCTTTGCTATATTATTAAAGCTGCTATGTGCTCTGAATTGTTTTCTGATCCATGGCATTCACTTGTCAAGTTTTAAATTTTGTTACTTTTCCTAAACGTATAGTAAATCTTTGTCACATATCTAAAGGTTAGTAAAAAGACTAAACAAAGATTCATTAAGTGCATGTTCATCAAAAATGAAATCTTGTTAGCTTAATGGTGCTTAATAATCGGCCTACAAATCTATGTAATAGTCATAATTTACGTAGAACTAGTAACACAATTTTAAATAGTTATGTCATTCCTGTATTTGTTCTGTTCTTAATCTATTGGCTTTAAAATACATGCAAAAATAGATAACTGTGTAAGGTGTGTAAGATTGTTCTTTGGTTTATATGCAAGTCACTGTTTTATAGGATTGCATAGAAGTACATGTGAAGAGCACGAAAGGACCCATTGATGTGTATCTATGTGAGGTGCAACAAGAGAAGCCAGGTGCCAAAACTTTTGAAGATCTGGATACTGTCACTTCTGAAACTGAGCCATCAGTTACTCCTGATGAAGGTAATTTCTTCCATTTACATTTTTATCCCCATGTAATTTTTTTTTAAGTCGGTCATACCATTCTGGTAAAGTTGAAAATTGTACTGTACAAGTATAATTTTCAGGGCATAGTTTGTGGGCCAGGATGTGTGGGAGTATAGGAAACGCCTGAAAGAGAAATCTGTGCTGTTGTGTTACCTCACAACAGCAGGAGGTCAGAGAGTCAGGCATGTGCACACACAGCAAGGCACTCTTGTTCCCTGACCCTTTCCTTCCTTTGCTCGTTACTGGTTTCCTGTCAGCGCTGCACTCTGCAGATGGAACAATGTGTGTCAGTTCTCAGCTGCCTCACTCCAGAGTCCAGCAGCTCAGCTGAAATAGTTGTCATTAGAGTTAAGATGCTGTTTCAAACAAGAGAGTGTGCTGCTCTGGCTCATTAATGCCCTGTCTAAGGGAGGGCAGGCGGAAGGGGGAATGTAGTTTTTGATCTCCTAAAACAAGATTGGCTGGAATAGAGTTTCTCAAGAGCCCCAATGCTGCAGGATGTTGTGGTTCAAAAATAAATGTGGCGGGAATTGCGGTAGCTCAGAACACAAAAGATAAATTATTTTTAGCAGTGCTGCTTTATAGTTGAGGGGAAGAGTTTTTTTAATCTCAGGCAATTTTTTACTTTATTTTGCTTGCAAAATGACTCAGTTATATTTCCTACAATGACAGTAATCGTATTCCTTTTTTTACTTTGCTTTCAAAGTGAGATCTCCGGAGGAAGAAAAAAAACAAACCACCTGAGGTGACAGATTAATTGCAATTCAAAAATCTAATACAGAATGTAAATATCTGTGTTATAGAGCTTTTCTGAAGCTGCTTGGATCTGCAAACTTACTAACCTGAAATACTCCAAAGTGTTTTAAATTTAAAACAGCAGTGGGTTGGTTGAGTGCTTTCACAGAATTGCTTATCTTCCCAAGTCAAAAGATGACAGTTCCTACATTTGCTTTTAGGAGCTTTGTTTTCATAATTGCATGTGATCTACAGAGCTTTGGGAAAATGGTAATTTTTAGCTTATGAAATAATTTTAATTGACAGAAAACATAGGCAATTAATTACTTCTAAAAATGAAGATTTGAAAACTATTTCTGGAATAATCCACAATCCTTATGAGAATGTATATAATAAAGAAATGCACTTTTCAGTTCTGAGGCTGCACTACTACTAAGCAGGATTGTCAGATACGAGTCTAACAAAGAACTGGTGTGTCAGAAGCCTTCACTATAAAGAACAAGATGTAAATGTCACGAGAGTTATGCCTTATACTGTGTAGATGCTGTTTGCATTGTTTGCATCCAGCTCTGCATTAACTATGGTATCAACACTGAAGTTAAATAATTTGAGCTTTTTGTATATATCTGTACCATGTCTAGGTAGTTACTGATTTATTGAGATGGTTTGCATTTCTGCCTTTGTACAGCAAAGAAATAAAATAAGCTTATAAAAATATTCAGTAGTCTTAGTCAGTCTAATGAACCATGTTGGGTTGTCTTTGTTGGAATTCACTGGGTAGCTACAAACATTAAAACTGATGTGAAAATTTTAAATCTGTTACACGTGGTGCTGGCAGCTAGCAGTTAGATCTGATTCTTGTGATGCCACAATACCGTAGCAATTTTCAGAAGAAACATTATGATCAATTACTACTTAAATTGGTCCCTTCCAGTTTCTAGAGTTTACATACAGCATAGCTTTAGCCTAGTACCATGATGTCTTTTTGGCTCTAGCTTGCAAAAATACGTAAAATACTTTAGAACTACATCTGTATTCATCTGTCTTTAGTATCTGTAAAATGAAGCTTCAGAATTTTGGTACTGGGTTTTCTAAGTTAATTAACTGTCACCATACAAACGTCATACTTGGGCTCACTTCACTCCAGTATGGAAAAGTGTACTTAATAGTTTTCTGTGTGGGGAGGGGTGGGTGGGTTGGTTGGTTGGTTTTTAAATTAGAACTCAATCACACAGTATCAACGACTATCTGTCTACTCACAAGTGTGAACAACAAAGCTAATAAACACCTGAATGTTTTAACCAGCAACTCTACAGCTATTTTAGACAGATGCTGTGAAGGTAGATGCCCTATATTCTACTAATTAATACAAATAAGGTAGGGCATTTGACACTGAAGAGCTTAAATGTACCTAAATAGAGATTGGGAGTTAATCCAGTTTTCTACAAGGTTCACTAGTTCTGCAAATGCATAGTATTCTACTATGCAAATTGGGAAATACACCGAGTGCAAGCTTGTGTCAGAAAGTAATCTTGACTTCTTGTGTACATGCTGCCAACTTCCAGCTCCAGAATATAGGACTTCAGTGTTGGATACTATTTTTCTGTATCTCTATAAAATGCAAGCTGCAGGCTGAGCTGTTACAATAATAAATAAAAGCAAAGTGAAGGAACACTTCATACGTAGATCACAGTAAAAATGGGGAAGGTGCTTCTCCAATGAAGTTGGGGGCAGCGGTTAAAATTAAGAAATCATCTTTTTGCACAGAAAGGTTGTCCTTTTCCTTTAGCGGCTGGCTTCTTTCTGGATGGCAAACTTGCTATTTGATTTTTTTTTTTACACTGCTGTTCTGTTTTGGTGGGGAGAGAGGTCTGTGCCTAAGAGAAGTATTGACCCCCCTACACTGTTTCAACAACTTGGGATAACGTTTGCTGGGAAACGTGTAAAAAATTTCCAAGCACCAACAACTAATCCTGAATGCTATGTATGTGTTAGGGTGGGATTTGTTATGTTATGATACAGTGTTTTGAACTGTGGAGTAAGGAAGTACACTTTTACAAAATAATCATCTTCTAAATGTTAAGTAAGTCTGTCTTCAAAAGCAGAACATACTTTTTTTAATTGAAACATTAGGATTTTTCACTTTGAACAGATCTCTAGTGATTCTGTTTTTCCTTCTTTGTGTGGGTTTTCTAGCTGTAGAATTCATTTTTTAACTTCAAGCTACACAATTATCACAGTGAAATGGGAGAAGCTGTAATATGATAGTTTATAATTATTTACTTACATACATACATTGTTTTAATAGTGCACCTTCAGTGGAACAAATGGACTTTTGAAGTTGAAATCACTTTGTTGTTACTACTTGGATATGTACAGTATTATCCAATTGCAATACTGGAAGACAGTGTACTGTGTAAGATCAGTATGCGAACTAGCTGAAAAGATTAGACTTGAACTTGAGGAAAAGTTCTGAGCGATGCTGAACTTAAATACAAGTTACAAGCTCACTTAAAAAGTAAATGTGATAGGACCTTACTCTGAATTTGTATAAAGGTTATTAAGATTAAAGTATTTTTGTTGAGTCCATATCTGTCCATTTTCACCGTATTTGTATGTGTAAGCACTTCCCTTGGCTATTTGAAGACTATGCCTGTAATAAATTAAAAAGCTCTAATAACATTTTTGTCTTTCCTTCAATAAGAATGGCTGAGCATCTAAATGCATTAATCAGCAATAGCAACAGCCAGGATCTGTAATTATAAAATGGCCTGGTTTTGCTGACTCTGTAACTGGAACAAACGCTGCTGGCTGCCAGTTCGGCCCTTATTTGGTATGGGCAATTACTTGTCAGAGTTTTCAGATGTGAATTGCAGTTTTTAAATAATGTGATTTGTAAAGAAGATTCCTTTAAATTATTATCTTTTGGAAAGCACTTAAAAGACAGCAGATTCCTTCATTTTGAGTAATCTTTTTGTTTTGTGCGAAGAGCCTCATTTATAAGCATAATTAAATTACACTGATTTCAAAAGTCACTTTAGCTGTTGTAATTTTCAGTGGTGAAATTAGCTTGCTTGCTAGATAATCAGCTAGTCCCGAGTAGCTGGAGCTGACTGCAAGCTTTAAACCTTTATGTGTTCTGTGATCTTGGTGTATAGGCTGGCTCTGGCACCATGCTGGGACTTAAGTCACTGCTGAAGTGTTTATCCAGAGCAGGAATCTGCTATTTTCAGTTCCACTTCTGATCTGCCAGCGGTAATTGGAGGCTAAAATCGCATAAATTATACTTGGTTCTGTACAGTTTATATAAAACTACATGAGGCTTCTCACATAGATGTTTACTGAAGGATTGGGATACTTGTTTGTAAAAAAACATAGTATATGTTCAGAAGGAAATCTTCATGATGCTTGGAGAGAGAGAGACAAGCCTGGTTCTCTCCATGTATCTCACACGTGGTTCCTTCCCTTCCTTCCATCCCATTCCAGCCTGATGGTGGGCTGTCTAAGGGCCGGTAGCTCTGCTGTCTGGATACCCGCAGCATACACACCGGCTTACAGTAGCTTCTCACAAGGTGATCTGTGAAGGAGGTAGTGTTTGTAACCACCCCTGGAAGAAGTGATGGGGCTACGGGGGATGATCCTAGAAGTTGTAACAGCAAATTCAAAAGATACAAGCACAGGACATTGTTAGTCTTTTATTGACTTTTGTTAGGCCTCCAACATTTCATAGCATCCTTCTTCAAAAGGAAGACTTAGCACTTCAAATGAAAACTTCAGGAATCTAAAAATCTGCAAGAAGCTATTGAAGTTCCTGGAACAGTTTTGCTTTCAGTCTTTTGTAGATTCTGCACAGATCTGCTTTTAGATAATGCAATATTCTTTTCCAGACAGACAACCAATTTTGGTGGTACAGCTGTCATTTTCTAAGGAACTTGGTTTTTTTCTTTTCCATCTATAATCATAAAAACATCACATGCAGGTTAGAGCAGTAGTTGTTGCTTCTCTAACATGCAGCCAAAGCGCGTGTCATGAAAAATGAAACAAAAATTGATAGCTTTTCTTGCAAATTAGGAAGGTGTCTGATCAGATATAAAGTTTCAGCAAGCTCAGAAAGGGAAAACCTGTTTCTATATATATTTTAATTACAAGGCATACAAATTCTTAAGAGGCTTGCTGGCTCCTAAATCTAGGATAGCATTTGTGTGCACAAACCATGACCTCAACATTAGAAGAGTTCATTTCCAAATGCGAAAATAAAAGTTATCTGTCAGAAGAGAAGTTCAAAGTCCAGTAAAAGCATTTCAGAATTTATTTGGATAATAAAGTTTTAAAGGGGATTGTAAATCAGAGATGGGCCCAGACCTTTAAGTGCAAGTTAAGAAGCAAGTACCTGCAAACTTGAAGAGTAAAACAAGGTCAATAGGCCCCATGTTTATTGTACCAGTCATTAACAGTAAAGGTTGAAGCTAGATACAGACTTCTCTAAAGATCAAGATCTCTGGCTGAGATTTAGCGTGACCAAAATATTTGTGAGACAGCTGGGATTCAAACAGAATAACTCTGGATCTGGAAACATCAGCAAAGAGAGAATTTCCCTCATTATTTGCAGTGGTAGCTATTTGTAGGCAGGTACCTACCTCTATATTTTCTTCACAAGCACACAAAAAGAAATTCTTGAAAGTGGGTACCTGTATGAAACATACCCTACTAAATAGCGCAAGTGGTAAAATTTTAGCATGGCATCTGGAAGGAGGGAAGGCGTTAATCTGATTTTGAAAAGGCAGACACACAGTGTCCCTAAGGCTGTTACTGGTAAGAGCCACCTTTCTGCAAACTGTGATGAGACTTGACTTCTGACGTTCTCATCTGCTAGGTTGTACCCTGCCTGTGCTCTTGTTCAGAAGTGTCCAGAAAATAAATTGTATGTGGAATGAACAAATGAATGAATGAACGAATGAATGAACTCCCATTTTCCCCTGGTGAGACTCATGAACATTCAGACCATTTCTTCCTGACCATACAGCAGCTATGAAAGTACTCTGTGTAACACCGGACACTCTGCTGATAGCTGGGGTCTCAAGGATCAAACCAAGCTTCCCCAAAGTTAGTTGTGACCTCTCCATGATCCCTAAAGCACCTACAAAACCAGGACAATATCCATATGCTGCCTCCATCCCTTACACTAAAGCAGGTTGCACAGAATTTGTAGTTGGGAGCAGAGAACCAAGATTTACTTGGTAATGCTACTCCCCACAAACTGTGAAGGAATCTTTTTACCAAGCAATGTTCTCATCACCAGTGCCGGTAATACTTTAGTTTTGTGTAGGAAACAATTTCTTTTGGCAAAAATCCCCCTGGTGTTGGGAGACAGATTCAACCTTAACTGCCCAGCAATGTGCGCAAGGCCTTCAAACTGGTGAGAAGCTATTGGAGATGATGATTTCTGTCCTTATTCAGCTGCAGAGAAAACAAACACCTTTGAAATGATGCAAAATGATCCCATCCTGGGACAACAGTCACAAGGGAAATAGAGAGATCTGCCTCAAGAACTGCAACATCAATTCTTCCTGTGATTTGAGGTTTGAAAATAAAAGCAAAATACTGTGAAACATCAGCGTTGCCTTTCTTTTGAGATCAAACAAGTCTTAATTGCAGATTTTTCTTGGAGAACTGAATAAAGGGATAAATACAAATGTCAGTCTTTCAACTGCCAAAGTTGACACATCAGTTGGCAGTCTCGATGCACAAATCAGTGGTTTTGATTTGTTTGGAAAGTATCAAAAACACTGACAGCCCTGGGCCAGTGAATAGCACAAAAGGAAAATATGGATTACTGCATATTTATTGATTAATTATGTGTTTCTCCCAGTCTGAAAGACTCTAGACTGTATTAAAAATTCACTGCAGATCAAAGCTCAGGAAACTTACATCCTTTCAAAAAGGAATTAAATTTGTGACATTAGATGATCACTTCATAGAGTCTTAAAAACAAGTATCTTCCAAATGAAAATATCTTCTATTCCCAATTGTAAAATACTGTTCCTTTATACATGGAGAAAATACAGACTGTTATAATCTGGAGAGAAGGGGTTGGAAGGCTGTCCAGATATTGTCTGTATGCTGTGTATGTCTCGGAGGATCTGTTGCCTAGAAATGAAAACAAGACAACAATAATTGTTTACATAGATGTTGCCTGAAAACTTCTCAGGCATTTATGCTCCTGCTGCTGGCTTTATGCCAATGGACCATTCCTTAAATTGAAAAATGGGAGCTATTTTTAGGGGGTAAGGAGGGAAGTCTGCAAGATGGTGTTTATGATTTGGAGAGAAAATGATACGGCTGTAAAGGGAAAAAAAATCCTTCCAATGTCACTGAAGAATTTTTTTATCATCTTTGAAATCAAAACCTGATCAGGATGGTGTCTGTTCATTCAATTAATTGCTTCTGATCAGTTTAACAAAATTGATGTTCAGCTAGAAGTAGTCATTCAGCCGTGTGCTTTATTGACAGCGAACCGGTGGCTTTGAAATAGGCACGAGTAAGCTGAATAAATTATACTTCGAGGTAAACTGTTACACTTCCATATTTTGTATAGGGAATTCTCGGTTTAAAAGTAACCATGGATTCACAATGGTAATACTGGTAGTACAGACAAATTACTGAGATACAGAACTATGATTATCAGAAGGAGGAGATTTGAGGTTTCCATTTCCGTAACAGAGAGAATCTCGGTGTGGGCTGTCCTCTAAGGACAGTTTTACTTACATATAAAGCCATATATCCTTTCAGCACCACATCACACTGCTATCAGGTGGCTTGCTGCCTCTGGAGAAATCATTCCTCTGTGCTGTGCCCATTTGCAAAAAGGGGGTGACTGCCTTGATCTCCTTTGCAAACTCCTATCAGTTCTGCTCTGCAGTGACTCCCAAGAGCGTACCAGCTTCCCCAGCACCCTCCATAGGACGCTTGGCCAGCACCAACAAGGTCAGTCCTTGGACTTGCTGCTGCGCTTTATGAAGCAATCACGGTGGGTGCCAGGACCTCCCAGGTGCTCTAGAAGAGCGTTCTCCCTGAAGATGGCACCAGAAAACTCTCTGCTATCTTGAAAGATGCTGCCCCACGGCTTAATGATGCTCTCGGTATTTACTGCATGTCCTTTAACAAATTAAATGGCAAAATAAATTCAATGTTCCAAACACATAATCAAAATTAGCATCTTATTGTCAATTTCAGTTGAGAAGCCAAAGTGTACAAATGTACAAATAAATGTTCCTTGTGTTTATTTTACATATACTGAGGATTTTTTTCCTTTGGCATCCGATCAGTCTTGTATTATGGGATGGGAAAATCTGAAACATCTGATTAATATTCAGTAGAACTCACTTTTTTTTTTGTACAATGACAAAATCATTCCCTCTCTAGGTTAAATAATCTGACATTCCAAAAAGCTTAGAGGTAGGACTAACCCCTTCCTCACCCCTTTTTCATCTCCCAGTACATCTTTTTTACAGTGGCCAGAGAGGACCTGCAATGGGTACATCCTTCCAG